AATATGTTGCTTGACATGGCAAAAAAGGGACTTTTGAGATATGATTAATGTTAACTGACTTGAGATAGGGAGATTATCTGGGTGGGTCCAATGTAATTATGCAAGTCCTTAAAACCTGAGAATATTTTCCAACTGCTGTCAGAGATGTGAGAATAAAATAAGGGTTAGACAGATATAATATTGTCATCTTTGAAGCTGGTATGTGGTGAGGGGTAGGGATGGGCATGAGCCAAAGAATGTGGGCAGTTCTACAAGTTACAAAAAGCAAGGAAATGGATTCTCCCCTAGAGCCTCCAGCAAAGAAAGCGGCTCTGCTGACGTCTTCATTTGAGCTCAGTGAGACCTGCGTCTAACTTCTGACCTACAGAACTATTTGATCTGTTTGATTACAAATTTGTGGGGTTTGTTGTTGTTGTTGTTGTTTTGTTTTGTTTTGTTTTTTTGGTGGTAATTTGTGAAGGAGGCAATGGGAAACTAAAAAACATCCGTAAATCCACGTGGCTTTACTTCTTCCAAAAGAGACTGTGAGAACAGCTGCCAGTATGCACCATCCTCAGAGCATGCAACAGCCCTCTCCTGCAGAAACTATGCAGTTGGATTGCATCATTGTCCTTCGGTTGGGTAGATTTGGGTATCTCCACACAACTATAATGGCGTATATAACCAGAAGATTTGTAATAGTGTTCTGAATGGTGACTCTGGGGAACATCTAGATCCAAGAGGGTTCTTTGAATCATCAACTTAAATATATGATCTTCAAAATTGTTTTGATCTAGTATATGTAGTATTGTTATTACATTTTAATTTTTTAAATCTTTTTATTGATCAAGGCTCAGAACGAATACTAGTGATCTGTTGCTGAAAAGCCAGATGTGACAGTAGTGGTGTGTGGATCTGTTTCAGCCAAAAGGACCTTAGGCACATTTACAAAGTAAAATAAATTTACTTTTGATGCCTTCTCACTTCTCTTCTGTGTCCTTCATTACCTTTGGACTACCTTACAGCCCAACATGGGGCCTGCCATTGCGTAAAGTTGACATTACTCTAAAATTATTCCATTTCTCACTCACTTTCTTCCTTTCCTTAAGATTAAAATTATTGCCTCAAAGTGTTTATCTTTAGCAGGTAGAAAACCATCAGATTAAAGTAATTCATGTTAGCAGGTGAAGGTCTTAACCAGTGCAGTGGAAGGCTAGGTGAACTAAGTAAAACTGTAATCAGTGGGCTGAGCAGGGACTCATTTTTAAAGGAGAGGACTTTTAAAGGGATGTGTTCATTACAGGCCTTTAGCTCCACTATGCAATCATCAAGTATGCTTTGAATGTCTACTGGGGTTTATGATGGGGAACTGAAGGTTAAGTTCAAAGACCTTGGGGATAAACAATGCTGACTGAGTTCAGGCTCTACCATTTAGGGCTGTGACCATAGCTGTGATCAAGTTTCTATTTCCTCATCTGAGAAATAAGGATAACGACCATGCTAAACTCTTAGGTTTACTGTGAAGTTGAAGTGAAAGTACACATCACACACCTAACACAGTGCCTGGTGTAGAGTAAGGACTCGGCAACATGACCAATTAGTTATTCTCTGTCTCATGCTCAGGATAAGACGTTGTGTAAAGGCACAGGAAAACAAGATGACACAACCCTGAACCCCACAGAGCTTTCTCCCACCCTTCAGACTGTTTCCTGCCTGTGAACAGGCATCAGAAAAGCAACAGCTCTCACTTTTACAAAGTAGTTAATTCATACAAATCTGGAATTTTCAAACAAATTTTGATCAACAACGACAAAGCCCGTTACTTAAATCCTTGTGTATACATGATTTTTTAATGTACTGCTTTAGAATTCTTGCAGTTCAGGCTAGGCATAGTAGCTTAAACCTGTAATCCCAACATTTTGGGAGGCCGAGGTGGGAGGATAGCTTGAGGCTGGAAGTTTGAGACCAGACTGCTCAATATAGTGAGACCCTGTCCCTACAAAAAAAATATATTTTTTTTATATATATCAAAATATTATATTTATATACATTAAACATATATTTGTATATTTATATATTAAATGTATACTATATATTTTTATATAATTTTTATAATTATATATAATATTTATAATTTATATTTTAAAATATTTTTTCAGAAAACAAACAAACCAAACAAGAATTCCCACAGTTTAATGAGGAAGAAATGCAAAGGAGAAAATCCATAATTAAATCATAGAATTATTTTCCCCTTATTGTACACAATGAATAACTAACTGAAGAAAAGATTTTATTTAAAAACATGTCATGGTAGAGTGAAAAAAAGGGATATATATTTTAGAATATATGTCTACAGGTTCCTCTGGAATTCCAACTTTGCTCAGGATACTTTTGTTACTGCCATAAAATAGAAAAGTACCAGCCTGGCAAACACAGTGAAACCCCGTCTCTACTAAAAATACAAAAAAATTAGCCGGGCGTGGTGGAAGGCGCCTGTAATCCCAGCTACTCGGGAGGCCAAGGCAGGAGAATCGCTTTAACCCTCGACGCAGAGGTTGCAGTGAGCCAGGATCACGCTATGCACTCCAACCTGGGTGACAGAGCTAGACTCAGTCTCAAATAATAATAATAATAATAATAATAATAAAAAGGCAGTCCTGAGTGAAGGTGACGACATCAAGACTGATTTGGTGAAGGTTGTTAGGTGACAATAATTATTAATGGCTCCATTTTGTGGACTAGAAAAACTAAACCAAACAAAAACCAAGAAAAACCCTCAATTTTAATTTTAGAATTCAAAAAAGATGAACCATAGCATGAACTGTTAGACAAGGCAAATTCATTCAAAAGGGGCCTTCTCGGTATTTCAGAAAAGAGGAATTGAGATTGTTTTCAAAAGTTAAATTTAAGAAAAAGCCCGATGATAATAAAAGCTGGTTTTCTTCTTAAGAGATACCATTCAGAATTGATTACCTTCTTTCACACGATACAACATTAGATATGATTGACAAGCATGCCAAAGGCTTCATTCTTCTAGCTGATTATCAACTTTTCTTCCTGGAAGCCAATTTCAATGAGCTGTTATATTTTGAAGTGCTGTCACAGATTTATTGGAAGGAACTAGAAATGTGAGTTCCTTATGTCTGCAATTCCAGTAGGAATTCCATGTCTGAGTATTTTAAGAAGTTTAACAATATAATTTTAAAGAAATTTTTAGAAGTGTAGGGAGAAATGGAGCAGAGTTACCACAATTAATTATTTATAGGAAAGCTGCAGAACATCAGAACAGTGCTTCCTATAGTCAATCATATTTAACTGCCTGTTATTGTGAGTTGATATATGTTGTTGCAAATAGTGAACTGAATACTTGACTAGCACATAAAAGTCAAATGTAATAGAATTGTTAATACTTTTTTGAGCAGAGATTGAGTAAGTACTCCTTGTAGCATAAAAGGATAAATCTAACTCTTAGAATACCTATTTTCTGCCAAAGGGAAGGTGTGAACATTTATACATTTAAAGTTAATCAGGCTGGGTGCAGTGGCTCACGCTTCTAATTCTAGCACTTTGGGGGGCTGAGGTGCGTGGATTGCTTGAGCCCAGGGGTTCAAGACCAAGCTGGGCAACATGGTGATATCCTGTCTCTACAAAAAATACAAAAAAATTAGCTGGGTGTGGTGGTGTGCACTGTAGCCCCAGCTACTCCAGAGGCTGGGTTGAGAGGATCACTTGAGCCTGGGAGGGCAAGGTTGAAGTGAGCTGTGACCGCCCCACTGTGCCCCAGACTGGGCAACAAAGCAAGACCCAGTCTTAAAAAATTAATAAAGAATAAAGTTAATTAATCCTTCATGGGACAAATAAGTCTATAAGAATATCACAAACTAAGGATGTCTAATCTGGATGGCATGTTGTTATCTTTCTAGGAGTAACACTTGAAAATTACTTAGGATGGTGTCTGACACATGGTAGATGCTCAATAAATGTTAACTGTATCATCATTTAGAAATGGTATTAGGGGTCAGGCACGTTGGCTCACGTCTATAATCACAGCATTTTGGGAGACTGAGGCCCTTGAGTTCAAGAGTTTGAGACAAGACTGGCCAACATGGAGAAACCCTGTCTATACCAAAAATACAAAAATTTAGCTGGGTGTGGTGATGGGTGCCTGTAATCCCAGCTACTTGGGTGACTGAGGCACAGAATTGCTTGAACCCAGAGGTGGAGATTGCAGTGAGCCGAGATCACGCCACTGCACTCCAGCCTGAGCAACAGAGCGAGACTCCATCTCAAAATAAAAAGAAAAAAAAAAAAAGAAAAGAAATAGTATTTGGTTGTGAGTTAGAAAGATCTAAAAATAAGTGGCTTAAAAATGCATTTTTTGTTCATGTACCATGGAGTCCAGAAGTAGGCTGTTCAAGTGTGGTAGTATCTTGACTACTTTGACTACATTATATTATCAAACTCTCAGAACACTTCTGTTTTCTTCTTTGCCATCTGCTTAGAAGTTTACATCCTCAGAACCACCTCATGCTCACAAGATGGCTGCCTGGAGTCTATTTATCATATACAGGTGCAAAGAAGGAAGAGAAAAGAAAGGGTGGTTGCTGCAAAGGGATGAATGCCAGCTGGAGACACACACACACACACACACACACACACACACACACACATGTTTCTAGAGCCCTACCCAACAACTTTTGCCCAAGTATCACTAACCTAAACTCAGTCACATGCCTTCCCTTTTCTTTAAGTCAGATGGAAATATTGTATTTTAGCTGAATGCATTGCTAAACATAATGAAATCAAATTTCTGTTGTTAAAAAACAAGGGAAAATTATACATCAGTGTTATGTGGGAAAATTACAGAAAAGAAAGACATATGGGAAAATTGGATTTGGGGAGGGAACTAGCAATCTTTCCCATTGTTATTATTGAGATTATGTTTATTTGGAAGTTTACAAATAAACTAATCCTTTTTCAGGGGTTTGCTTCTCTGTGTGACTAAAATATTTTCCTTTCAGCAATGTGCTGGAGGAGCCAGCTTATACCTACTTGCAGGAACCAACTGAGAAATTATCAAGAATTTTGTAAGTCAGTAATGAAACATAGCCATTATTTTAAAAATAAATACTATAAATATGGAATTAAATAAATTATATTAGAAGCACATGATAGTAAATGCTTAGAACAGCTCACTTCCTAATTTTTTACTACGATTTACTGTTTTCTGTGCTGTTGAGGTGATGTACATCTATTGTATCTGTATGGTGAAAATATTATGTGATAGAAACCTATATAACAGTGTCTACTGTACCTCTCTTCCCAACTCTGAATTCAGTGACATCACTTTAGTAACTTAAAACTGGCCATATAGGGAATATTTACATCATAGAAGTTGACAAACACTAAAATGAGGGCCCGTTTCCCTGAAGAATAGGTTCTAAAAATCTACCAGCGTACTTCTGCCTTCTAATATTTACAAATACATTTTAATAGTTTGCTGTATTAATGGTGGCCAATATAGAGATCAGAGTATAGATAAATTTAACATTTCACTAACAGAACCACATACAGAAGGGTAACCAGTGAGTACATGAAGAGGGAAGGAACTGTTTTTCTTCTATTCATGTCTTGCTCTCATGGGACCAGCAACACCACCAGACAGATATTTCAGCTCCAAGCTAGAGAAATGAATCTTTTGTGACTAACTCCTTGGGGAAATGGGAAAGGAGAGGAACTGCTACATGTTTCCCCCTAAGGACTAATAAATTTGTTTATGTCTCTTTGAGCTTGAAGCACTCATCAGAAAAGGAAAAGGTACTTTAAAAAAAACCCACAATTCGCCCTCATCGCCTCTTTCATTGCTGCTCTTTGAAGCATAAATAAATGAGGCATTTGGGGGAAATAAATGTAATATTAAGCAGAAAGTAAATGAGACAATATAGTGAGAATCATTTAAAAGAGTGATTTATAGCTCCTCTTCTGTATCTAGTATTTAAATTGAGCATATTAAATTAAAATTAATGTTATTTTTTCACCTGGAGTACTTTCTTTTTGTTATCTACAATTTTGTGTAAACCTTCTGCCCCACTCTCTGGAGTTTAAGATGGTGCCAGAGAGATTTATAGGAGAAAGTAGTTTAACAACATACTGCTTTGGTGAGGCTATGGGGAAGAAAGAGCTCTTCATTGCTGAGGGAAGCGTGAATCAGTATGACCTCTGAAGAAAAATTTGGCAACATTTATCAAAACTGTAAATGCATATAGCCTTCGACCCAGTAATTCTACTTTTGGAAATATACTCTCCAGAAATACTTGTATATATACAAAATGATATAGGCTCAATTTTATTCTTTGTAATATTTTTGCATAATAGCTAACGGGTTAGAATAATTGTAAAATCCATCAATAGGAGTGGCTAAGTAAACTAAGATTTATTTTTACAGTGGAGTGTTACATGGCTGTAAAAAATAATAATAATCCTAGAAACTATACAGTGAAAAAAAAAACCCAAGAGTTAGAACAGTATGTATAATACACCTTTTGTGAAAAATAAGAGAAAATAAAAATCTGTATTTATATCCTCTTGAATATGCATTACTCTGAAAAGATCTGTAGAATCTAAGAATAGAGATTTCTATGTAGAAAAAGAGGTTCTGGCTAGATGAGGGACAAGGTTGGAAGGAAAGGAGCATTTTTTTTTATTTTAACTTTTATAACTATTCGTTTTTGGAGCCATGTGAATGTATTATGTACTTAAAAATACCTTAAAGCTTAAATAAATAGCTTGCAATACTTAAAGAGAAACTTCCCCTCCATCAACAGAGACGCTGTTTAGTGTGATTTAATAAGGAGTTCTAGCTGTGAGATGGCTCACTCACTCAAAGATATAAGAGAGCAGAGTTTAGTCATGCGCAGATTTAAAGGAATCAACATAAGAGAGTGAGGCACTGAGGGATTAGCAAGAGCAGAATGCCAGAAGCACCACTAGTCCAGAAGGAAAAAGGAATGAAGCACCTCATGGAGGTGCTGCAGAGACAACCTCTCTGAACAGAATGCAGCTACTGCCAGGAACAGTGAGGCAGTAAGGAGCAGAAAAAATCAATATCCCAACCTTTCTGTCCTCTCACCCCTGATCTCCAGCTAGTGGCACACAGAAGCCAGAGGGCAAGGAAGCCTGGAGTGTACTGTGGATAGTGGTCATCTTCCTGGGGGACAAAGGAAGACAGAGAATACGGAGAACGGATCTGGGCAACAAATGAAAAATAACCAGTGCAGGATATTAGGATGGCAGTTTGCATCCTGGATGTCTGTGTATGTCCGTACATACAGGTATGTGCTATACCAATTGGCTAAAGATGGCACCTATATATTGGGACCAATGTTTACTTCTTCACAGTAGGCTAGGACAATTCGCTCACATTCTGCCACTGCCAGCATCAAACTCAAATGTTTACACATTTGATTGCTTTAAAGCGATTGCCGAGGTAAGTATATTTTTTAGCCATTTAAACAGCCTACTTTGTATACCCCATGACACTCCACCAAATATCTACCAGTCAAAGATGAAATAAACCCTGGAGTTACAAAAGATGCCAAATCCCTGCTCCGTCTTGCAACTCTCTGATCCAGAGATTCTCCTCCTTGCTGCTGAATGACATCACCCTGACATGTAAGCCTCCTCTCTGATTCCCCTCTAGTTGAGGGTTCTCTTGTCCCCTTGACCTCCACCTCGCTGGGTAGTGGCCCCATCCAGTTGTTTCTGGCAAATCTGCTGCCACCAAACACTTCCCCTCCCTTACAACCTGTCAAAGTATTAATACAACTCAATAAAGGTCCTTATATACTACTGCCACCTAGTGGTCATGTTTTTTTTTCCTTGATCAGTCGTCAAATCCTCTATCTTATAACTACTCAATTCAATTGATGTAAGTGAGTAGCTGGTATTCAGATAGCTTTTCATAAATTATTCCATTTCATTCTTAAGCCTGTAGATTAAGTTCTATTATTCCTACTCAAAAGCTAACTGGCTTATCCAAAGTCTGCAGGCCAAATCCAAACCCTTCTTCCATACCATATATAAGACTCATTCAATCCCCCGAACTCTCTCATTTTCCCTATCCCTCCATTGTTGTCTAGTGCACAATATTTATTATAGTTTGCAATATAATATTGGAAAGGGGGGCATTAGAGTGCTATTCTCAGAAGTTCATCTGATGGCCAGACGTTAGCAGATTCATGAAAAAAAAGCAACCTAAAGACTTTCTGGATCTTCTGTTTTTAGTAAAGTTATATAACTAACTTTTTGAAAAATCTCCCACTCTAAAAGTTTTTACGTATGTTGGGTAAAATATGATAACCTTATTTTTAAATGTAAAGCTTAATTCATAAGATGTAGAAGGACATCCCCGCGGAATGAGAAACAAAGTAGGCTATCATACCACCTGACATCATGTCTGATGAGTATATCTTCAAATCTCTATGTCCCAACGCCTTGGCATTTTGCAGCTCCACATAGGACAGGAAATTAGGTCTTAGTACACTCAAAAACAGAGATTTTGAACAGGGGATCCATATACATCTGAGAGTCATAAAAGGCCACATTCTCAAAGAATAATAGACTTGTAAAATCTGCTCCCCAGCAAAGAGGAACAATAAGAAAATCAATCACTCTTGGTGTAGCCTCTGGGTTAAAAGTAATCTTGGGGGTCGGGATTCATCTTTCACTTATTGTAATGTCTAATAAACCCCAAACCAGACAATTAACTTTATGTGGTTCTAGACTGATAGTAACACAGAACACCTGGTAGAAACAAAAGCAAATACTCTCTAAAGAGATGCCCAATCATCAGAGACCTCATTGAATTCCCACTGATGAAGCTAGTCATTTAAGTAAATTCACAATCTAAAATTACGAAGCATAGAAGGCATAAGGCCACAATGAGAAAGAGCCAGTAAAACCAAGAAAAATCCAAATTTGACCTTCAAGGGCTTTGGCTATTCAAATTATTGAATGAAGAATGACAAGCACACAAACATATACCCACAATTATTGAATAAAAAATAATATAATGTGGTTTTAAGATTCTCAGAATGTTTGCTAAACATAGCATTGCATTTCTTGATTTGTTACAGAATGGATAAGGAGATTCCATGATTTAGTCTTCTGTTGACTAATTGGAATTTTCTTTTTTAAACACATAAGGGGGGGGTGAAAATGGAAAGTGTTTGTAAAACAAATGAAAGTCCTCTTTGAAACTAAAAGTATAATAGTAACCCTTAGAAAAAATTTTAGTAATTTGAGAAATAGCATCCTTAAATGTGGTCTCATGACTTAGCGAGCATTATTTTCTCTGTCTGTAAAATGAAAATTTTAGGTCAGTCTATGGGTGAGAGACAAATGCTTTTTCTCCTCTCTTATGCTTCCTTTTGCAGGCTTGAAAAAGAAGGTTCTACTATTTTTGAGAACTCTGCTATATTTCATAGTGGTAAGCTGATAAGTTTCTAAGTAAAAACATAAACCTAGATCTATCATGTTAATATGGAATCATTTCCCAGGTACATTGTTAAGTGAAAAAAACTGAAGATATGGAGCAGTGTCTAAATGTCTTATTTGTGTAAAAAATATACATATTATACTTATTTATATGTGAATAGACTACTTTTACAGGAATATGCAAAAAAACGATATTTGCTTGAGGGAAGATGCTAGTGAATTTGGAGATCTGGAAAGGAGTAAAACTGGCCATTTTAAACCTCACTTAATTGTTATTTCAATTTTAGAAACTAAGTTAATAGAAAATAGACAAATTCTCTCACTAACTAGCAGAAAGCTTCTTTAGTTAATGATTATGCATTATTTGCCATACATTTAGGCAATGCAATATCTAACATGTATACTGTATTAAACAGCTTGACTATGTTTGCTTAGGTCTAACTCCTGGCCCACAATTTTTTAGCTTTATGAAGTTGGTCAAGTTACTTGGCCTGTCACTGCCTCAGTTTTGTCTTCTATTTAATGGCGAAAATAATAAAATTGATTTAAAAATTAAATAAGCTAATCCATATAAAATGCGTTACACAGTACCTGACACATGGAAAAATCTTAATGAACGTTAAGTCTAATCGTTATTTCAAACTTGCTGATAATTTTCCAGTTCCTAGATTTCAAACACATGCATGTACTTGAAATCTCAAAAATGGTCACTAATTAAAGTGGACAGAAAATTTTAATACATTATAGGACACTATTATTTGATAATTCTTACAGATTCACTTTCAAAACTTCTTTGGTCAGGCATATTTTGAAGATGACAGAACCAGACCGAAATATCAGAATAAGATCAATATTGTTGTCTTACATAAATGTTTGTTCCTCAGGCTATATACCCTCTGATGTGCACCTGCACAGAAACATTACATTTCACAGTTTGCCAAATATTTCATGAGTATTAGGAAGTGCATCCTGTAAGCAAGAAAATTAAATATGCACTTGGTTTATGAAATCATATTGTTATTCCATTTGAAATAACAAGTGAATGAAATCCTTCGGTAATACCAGTTGAGAGAAAGCTTGGCTTCCAGATAATTCTAATTTATTATTTTACAAGGACAAATATGATTAATTATCAAACAGACAAAAATACCAGCCTTCACTGATGACCATAATTTCTCCCCAAAGGTCTGATTTACATTTGAAGCCAAATTGTAACAGAATGTTCAGTTTATAAAGTATTTCTTCTGAGCCCAGGGAGTTGGGTGATTTTTAGCCACATGACAACCCTCTTCTTGGTGGAGAACGTACTTTGACTTTCCTTGACTGTTAAACAGAGCTAGCAATCTATGGATCAAATTTTATTCCAGGGTTTTTGTTGTTGTTGTTTTACCATTTAGCTTTAGTTAAAACTTATTTTTTGCACATGGTAATGACATTTACTTTGCTTCAGGTGAGTCATGCTGATAAGCTCAGATATTTCCTATTATTACTTGAATATCTAGATAAATGTTTTAATAAACTACATGTTTCTTAAATACCTCTCTAGTAGTTTACTATTGCTGCCTCACAAATTTCCATAAACACAGTGGCTGAAAACAACGCAAATTTATTATCTCACAGTTTTCTTGCTATAGGAACCAAGGTATGGGATAACTGGAGCTTTTGCTCAGGGTTTCACCAGGTTAAAATCAAGGTTTGTGTTGGGCCTGCAATCTCATCTGAGATCCAGGGAAACTGTCTTCCAAGCTCACTGGTTGTTGGCAGAATTCATTTGCTTACGGTTGTAGGACTGAGGCCCTCAGCTCCCAAAGGCCGACCGTTACCAGCCGTGAGGCTTTCTGCACAAGATGGTGGTTTGATTCTTCCAGGCCATCAGGGGAGCATCTGCTACTGCCTGGAATCTCTCTCTCTGGTCTGTTACAGCCAAGTTTTATGTAACTTAATCTAAACAAAGGACTGGCTACCCTGTATATTCATAGATGCCACCCACACTCAAAGGGTGGGTGTGGATTATACAGGGTTGTACAAGGAGAGTGTGAAATTCAGGGGCCATCTTCAAATCCTGCCTGCCACACTGACTATTTACTGGTTATTAACAGGGAGAGAGGCAAAGAGGAATGGATTTGACTTGAACTGTGACTGCACTGAAGCAAAATATCAATCTAAATTATGGTATGCCCAGCTGTTGTCGCCCCCAAGTTTTCTTACAAAAATGTGGTCTTTCAATGGTGGTAAAACACAGTTTTAAAACTGGATTTGCAAAATCATAATTGAGGGGTGCCATGAATATACATGGGAGAGAAAATAAGGCTTATGGATTCTAGAATTATCCTTTTTTTTTTTTTAGGAGGATAACATATGTTGTTGTATTAGGTCATTCTTGCATTGTTGTAAAGAAACACCTGAGACTGGGTAATTTACAAGAAAAGAGGTTTAATTGGTTCATGATTCTGCAGGGTATACAAGTAGCATAGCACCAGCATTTGCTTGGGGTGGTGGCAAGTGTCTCACATGGAGAGAGAGGGAGCAAGACAGAGACTGGGGGCAGGAAGTGCCATGCACTTAACCAGATCTCATGAAAACTCACTCACCATTGCAAGGACAGCACCAAGCCATGAGGGATCCACCCCCATGACCAAAACACCTCCCACCAGGCCCCACCTCCAACACCAGGGATCGCATTTCAACATGAGATCTGGACAGGGACAAATATCCAAATTATATCAGTTGTCTGCATAAATTATTTCATCAGGATGCAGATTAACAAATTATAACTGTGGGCGAGCCATAATAAGATTCACCAGTTTTAGTGCCCATTATATGAGGTGCTCTACACAGATTATTTCCTCCATTCTTTGCTATATAAAAAGATTGAAGCTCAATTAATATTAATAATGAATACATTCTAAAAAGTTAATAAATGCCAATTTCTTGCTCAATATCCATAGCTAGTAAGTCTCAAAGCTAGGGTTTCAAATCTAGTTCCATTTGAGTTGAAGTCTATTCCCTAAGTACTACACTGTTATTCAAAGTAGGAGATCCAGAAATGTCCATGCAGCTTATCCACAAACGTTTATTGAGGGCATAGTATTTGCCAGGCACTGTTCTAACCTCAAGAGATATAATGTGGAATAGATATACACGAGCTCTACCTTCCAGAATAAGGGTTCAAGTTTCTGCTAGTGTCTGAGCTATAAAATTTTCTTGTATCAAATGACAAGTATACCTGTATTATTAATACTACTAATTAGTAATATTAGGAATACTGTTCTTTATTGAATATAATCAATTTGCTTGGATTTCTGATATAGCCACAATAAATTTAAATAAAAATTTTTTCTAACTATAATAGAATACTATGACATTTTTATTTGCTGTTACTATAATAAAGCGAGTAAGAAACCCTGTGTGTGTGCGTGCGTGTACTCATGCTTTGGTTTCATTTATTGAAAAATTAGCATTAACCATCACAGAATTGAAAACTAGTAAACATTGAATTATAACTTGGATTGTTCTTACATAATGCGTGTCTTTGGGTTCGAACAAGGTTATCCATATGCCGGAACATGTACTCTGGACATGAACAAAGAGGGGTACTCACTAAATATACAAATAAATAAATAAATAAGAGTGAGATTGATAGAGAGTGAGACATTGAGATGATTTAGCTTTAAAACATCCAAAATTATGAAAGCAGAAAATCTGGAAATAAATCCAATCTTAATTATCTGTGCACATGCAAGTTGTATAGTCACATGCTGCATAATGAAGTTTTGGTCAATAATGTACCACATGTATGACGGGTCCAAATATTGTAATACTGTATTTTTACTATACTTTTTCTATGTTTAGATATGTTAAGATACACAAATACTATTAAGTTATGAATGGCTACATTATTCAATACAATAATGTGGTACAGGTTTGTTCCCTAGGAGCAACAGGCTATACCATGATGACTAGGTGTGTAGGAGGCTACACTATCTAGGTTTGTGTAAGCCTACTGTATGATGTTCACACAACGACAAAATTGTCTAAAGATACATTTCTCAGAACCTATCCCAGTCATTAACTAATGCATGACTGTAACTATTTTTATTTTGAGTTATATGAAAGGAGAAAATCAAACATAACATAATGTTTTCAGTGATTTGGGTCTTCTAAAAACCTTAATCCACTTGATTTTATTTTGAATCAGCTATTTAACATCTTTGTTTTACTACAAAAAATCTTTGAAATGAACTGAAGCACACATCATTTCAATGGTACGTAAATAACATGTTAAACAACTTCTATGAATTACAGAGAGACAACTATTGCCACCTAATGTTGGCAATGCAAACTGCAGTAGCTTCTTTAATAAACATCTGCAACTTTTACAGCACATCAGACTAAAAAAAAAAGGTATCAATTTAATATGCAAATTACACTGAAATAAAATAATGGCAATGATAAATATGGAAACATGCATTAATATTAGAAAAAAATAAGAATTAGAAAATAATCTGAAATGAATAAGAATTAGAAATTCTTAATAATATTAGAAATACACTATTACATAAGATATTATATAATGATAGGACTTTTTAAAAACTTTATGCCTTGTGTTAATACCTGACATTAATAGCAGTCTGATAAACTTTTTCATCATGCTATTTCTGTTATTATAAAAGCATAATATAACATGAGAAAAATTATTTTTTATGACTTCATCTAGGTTTTTTAATTATGCTGGAAAAATTACTAAATATGCAGGGATAATTTCTTTGAGTTTGCCATGAAATAAAATCTAAATATTTGATAGTGTCTTTGTAATCATTTTGTGTTCAGGTGTTTAAATATTTCATAACTCTCATTTTTTGCTTAAGAAGTGTATTTTAAATGTTTAGTTAAAACATATATATGTATGTTTGTGTATATATAATAATGTTTATTATATGATTTAAGATGAATTACTGTAATGTCAAAGTCAGATTAGTCAGTCAGTACAATGACCTAATGGGGATGTGATAATTCCTGAAGAGTCAGCAGAGATAGTGTCCTATCTAATGAGATTTATAGGTTGCTCAGATTACTGCATTGTCATATTGCCCACAATTCCACTGCATATGAATTTCAAGTCATTATTCCTCCAGTTAAAATGAGTTTCTCTTTAAGTAGACTATGTCACGTCTTCCATCATGTGTTTGTGTTTGTTGCGCCTTGTTGACATCAGTGCTCTTTGGAAGGGGCACATGGGACAGAGGATGCTGATGAATGATCAGTGGGGAAAGCTAGTCCTGACCATGAGGTACGGCAGGATAGGGCAAGAGGGGATGTGCCTAGTGTGAGGCCTCTTTCACTCTGGCACTGAACTTCTAAGGGAACTCAATGAAAGAGGAAATTTTGAGGGCAATATTGAAGGCCTAGAGAAACTGTTTACCTTCTAAGCTATGTTAGTGGTAAAAGTCTGGGATTTCGAGTCAGAAGACCTCTATGAATTGGTTCTATAACCCTTACTAAATCATCAATTAATTTTTCAAGCCTTGGTTTAGTATTTATTTATTTATAAAAGGATATGAAGATGCTTGTCTAAAACATGCACAATTGCTTGCTCATGTGACAGCTAAATCCTTCCCCTAAATTGCTACAAGCTACTGTATAATTAGACTATACATTGCTATAATGTGTCAGCTAATTATATCCCACTGGCTTTGGTGAAGCCATAGCTGGGAAATTTTATGGTGTGGAGAGAAAGATATTGATTTTTTAAGGCACAAACTTGCTCAAGAGAGGAAGATATTGCCATTTACCTCACATAAGTCAGCAGTGACTTTGGAGGACAAATTTTCTGACACATGAAAAACTGGAAAGGCACTCCATTCTTAGTTTTAAATCTTTAAACCAAGAACATATCTGTAAGAGAAACTGCTAGTATCTACCACATGCCCATGATCTCCTTTCTATTTCCTACCTGCTTTTAGTAGGGTGAGTCCATGTGACTAGTTTTCCAGTAAATGGACTATAGGAAGAAGTGACATGTTTTCTTTCAGATGAAGAAAATTAAGAACCAGTGTGGTTCCGACATTTTTCTCCCCCCTGCCACAGGGATTTTGTGTGTTCCAGGTGATATATTAAGGCCAATATAATATAATATAGCAAAATGTAGTTTAATACAGTATAATATAATGTCATTATATAATATACAAAATTAAAGATAGTCAATAATACATTATATATAATATATTTTACAATACTACATATTTATATTAATTGCATATATTACATGTTATTTGCAGTTACACATAATTTAATATATAATCATGTTATGTAATAGCCAAATAAGAAGACTGACTGATTCACATTGAACCATGATTGTGACCTAAGAGAGGAATAAATCTTTATTGTAAGTCCCTAAGAATTTGGATTTTTTTTTTTTTTGACAGTCTTAATTACTCTGGCTAGTGTAATACTTTAGGGTCAGAACAAAAGATTTGGCAAATATTTCATAATCTCTCGTCTGTTCCCTGGTGAACAGAAGCCATATTAGAATGTGAGAAATAACATTTCATTACAGGAAGTTAACAGGCAGGAGAGATTTATCCTTGCTTAGAGAAAATGATATTCTAATGAGGCCAATTACCATAATGTAATTGGAGTATTTGTTCCGAAGTCATGAACTTTCCATGTCTTAATGATATCTGGGCTTAAAAACTCATTTTTTAATAGATACTAGTTTACAATTTTTTCATCTCTAGGTCCAAAGGAAAATATTTTGGCAAATATAAGAGTGGGCTGGTGGACTGGACATCCAGAATTATGTCAACTAGTTGGGGTTGGGTGTGGGGGCTACCCAAGAAAAGGAATACTGTCATGAAAACTTTGAATTCTCTGGCACATATAGTCAGAATCTTTTCCTTCTTTTCTGAGTTGGTTTCCTATCAAGTTAAACAGAATTTTTTTCTGCACTTATATTTTCTCTACCAGGCTCAGAATATCTATTTGAATCTAGATAGATTTTGATAATCTTTGATGGTTTTTATTCTATATACCAATGCTGTTAATTATGTTTGTGCACCTGAACAAAACAATTTCTCATTTCAAATAGAGGTACTTGTTTTTTGTGAGCAATTTTGCATGTGTGGGAAAGAAACGTGTTACACTGAAGAAAAATATTCCCATTATTGATACTTGGGTTACGGATGTTGGTGCCCAGAAGAGTGTAGGTCTCATATACATTTGTTGTGTAGGTGAATGTATGAATAAATGAATGGATGGATGGATAAAGGAGTGAATGAATAAATCCTGAATGGGAACACATGAAATCAATCAGGGAAATTTTCATGAATTCATTTTAAGGCACATAGTCGTAGACTACAATATATTTAATCATGCCTTGTATATTGAAATTATTAGGATAAATATAACTGACAAGATAGATTTTTATATGTAAATCTTATATTTTTCTATTCAATTTATTTTTATGTATTTAATTTGCTTTATGCTGTTGCAAAGGGAATATTACCTTCTATTTCATCCTCTAACTTGTTGCTACTTGTTTACAGGAAGACTTTTGTACTTTCTTAATTGATTTTATAGGCAACCAAACACAGGCATATCTCAGAGATGTT